ACAGAGCAATACTTGGTGATGTCATGCTATCACTAGTTTCTACTGTTGCCTATCTCCCCCCACTCCTCTGCCCCGTTTCCCTGAAGAAGCTGCTGGTCCAAAACTAGGCCCACATGGGTGCCGGGTGGGGAAGGAGCGGAGGCCCCAGCACCAGCCGGGTTGCCTGGTTTCCTGCGAATGTGAACACCTACGCACGGAAGAGGGGGGAGTGTGAGTTGGAATGTATAAATGTGTTTGGGTGACTGTGAGCAAATAAGTGAGCAAGCAAGGAGGAATCAAAAAGAAGGGTGACCATGTGAAAGAGTGTGTGCATGAGGGGAAAAGAAAAATAAATGTGTGCATGTACATGGAGTGGAGGAGGCATCCAGGTGCACACCCAGTGCCCGCTGCAGTGCCTAGGAGCAGTGGGGAACTGAGGGCCTGGGAACAGGCACAGAATGGGAGGGAAGGAGCATATCTGCTGTCTGTATGGGTGCATGAGAAGGGGCATGATTGTAGGAGAGAAAGAGATCTAAAGAGGGAAGGTGAGAGCAAGCAAGTCTGTCCATCTCTAAAAGCATGTCTAGTGGAAGGGGACACATGATGGAGCCATGGAGCTAAGACAGCCCGAGTGTGCGAGAGGAAGATTGGCAGGGGTGTGAGCTTGAGGGTGGGGGTGTGCTTCCACAGGGCTCTGTGAGACAGAGAGACAGGGTACGTGCATGGGTGACTGTGTGTGGTTGTGTGCACGTGAGTAGGTAAGCATGCGGCTGTGACAAGTGAGAACACATGTGAGTGTGTGAGCACATGCGTGGAGTGCCCCAGGGCTGTGAGCAAGCATGCCTGTCCCTGGGGCATTGATGGGCTGGCTGCCTGAGGTGTTGGCGATACCTAAGGATCTTTTCACCCAAAAATGTCAAGCAGGGAGGACTGTAGGACCTGCTCGGCTCCGGTCTAGGTGACTGTGGCTGGGACTGTTGGCTATGGTGCCCCAGCCTGGCAGTGCAGTGCGTGTACGAATAAGTGAGTCATCAGGCATGGCTGGCCCCCACTCTGCCTCGCTTCTGGTCTTGCCCAGCAGGGAAGACAGCTAGGAGAGGGAGAGATTACTTGAGGACTGCGTTTTTACACTATCGTTATGCAATTGCTTGCAGTGCCCATGGGCTCATTCTAAAGGGCCAGCGCCCCAATTTTCTCGGTCCTTAGCCTGCCATCTCCCTTTATGTCCAAGTTGCAATTCAGGTTAGTGCCGTGTTTGCCAAACTCATTAGTCAACAGAGCTAAATATCAACAGTACAGCGATTGAAATTTCTCTTGAAAGCCAAATTTTTTAAACTCAAACTTCTTCTAACGCCACTTCTTCAAAATAGACTTGCCCAGGCCGTGGTATTTTGTGGAAGAGCCACACTCAAGGGGCCAAAGAGCCGCATGTGGCTCGCGAGCCAGTTTGCCGACCACGGGGTTAGTGGTTTCAGCTGATGAACGTTTGTGGAAATCTACTCCCTACCAAGTTCCAGAACCAACCGCCAGTCCTTTTCCCACCCCTGGCCTTCATTTCCCCATAGTACTTACCTACCATGCTATATATTTTACTTATTTTATTTGTCTGTCTTTCCCTTAATAACAAATGCCTGTGTAGCACGTGCTGTGTACCAAACACTGTTCTAATTCCTCTGTTACTTCACTTAATCCTCAAACAACTCCACCTGGCAGTGAGTATTATTCTTGCCATTTGGTAAATGGGACGCACAGGGTAAGCAGCTTGCCTGTGATCACCCTGTGGTAAGTGGTGGGGCCACACCTCGTCAAGGGTCCCTGCTGTTAACCAGGACACAATACTGTTCTGCGGGGCTGGACTTTTTCTCAGTTCGGTGCACGGTTTAATCTTCGGAGCTTATGAAAGAGCTCAGCACATGCAGATGCTCAATGACTAGCTAGTGAAGGAATGAAGAAGTGAGCGGATGAATGTTAGACATGGAAGATGACACAGAGAGGTACTTGCCTTCAAGGAGTTCATGGTCCCATTGAGGAAACAGGCAAAAGTTACTTCCATATCATATCAAGATGGCTCTGTGGGGTCTAGAGGAGCACATGCCTGGCCTCTGGACGGCAGGGTTTTCCAGGGGAAGGGGCAGAGAAGGGGATATGCACAGTGACATCAATCATCTCCTCCAAAATTCTGCCTGGGGACAGACACCCCTTAGCTCTTCCTACCTCAACCTATAGGATTCCAGAAGATGGTGGTGGCTCTATGGTGACAATGGAAGCACAATAGGGTAGTGGCCAGGAGCGTGAGCTCTGAACAAATGGCCTGGAGTGAATTCTCACTTTACCAAACACTCGCTAGGTGACCTGGACAGATTCCCTAACCTGCCTGGGACTTGGTCCTCTTATCTATAGGATGGGGATAGCAAATGATGCAGACTCCCTAGGTTAGTGGAGGGGATTACATGACATATACATGTAAAAGCATTTGGAACATTGCACAAAGCACAAGAAAGATAATGTGCCAGCTCCAATGGAGATTATCAACTTCCATTCTACCTTGGTTGCTGGCCGTCAGGGAGGAATGGGAGAGAAGGGTGGAATTAAACATGCTTATTACTGTGGCTTTCCTGCTGTGGCTTCATCCTATTTTCCAGAAGCAACTCAAAGCAGAGCAGAGACTATGGCTGCTTTTTTTCACCACTATTACCCATAGCACCTAGTACAGTACCTGACAAACAGTAGTTGTTCAATAAATGTTTGTTGAATAAGTGCATGTGTGGTTTTACTTATTTAACTTTTGTGAAGATAAATAACCATTTTGTTGTTGTTTCCATTTACAAATTAGGTACTAGAAGTCCAGCAAGGTTAAGTGACTTGGCTGTTAACACACAGCCTGTAAACAAAACAGCCAGACTCAAAGGCCAAAACCCATGCTCTTTGCTCCCCCGCATGCTACTCTCTGGACAAATATGCATCATGTCCTATTTTCCAAAATGGATTTTTTTTTCCTAGCCAGTAGGGCCGTCCCTGGTTGTAGAATCATCTCCGAATTCTATGACTCACATCTGAATCACGGAACTGTTCAGTAGTTGAAAGGGACTTTTGATGTCATCGTGACCTCCTACCCATTGTGGAAATTTCCTCTCCAATGTCTGTCCAGAAAATACTTGAATGCCTCCAGTGACGAAACACTCATTTTCTACCTCTTCAATTAACAAGTTCTATAACTGGACCACTTTTAGAGTCAGAAAGAAGATTCTGCATCTCGTGGGCCAACAGGCCTCCTTTTAGTTTCTATGTACTAGGCTTATGCCATCTTCCTTAGAGGCACACAGAATGAATCAGCTGCCCCCTTCACAAGACAGTCTTTCAGAGAGTCACAGACAGCTCTCACATCCCTCTGGGGAATTCTCTCCTTCACGTTAGTTGTTTCTAGTCCCCACAACTGTGGAGTGGCTCCTGTCCTAGACCTAGGCCATCTCATCAGGCAGTCCAACGTGTTTTGATCAAGGGTACCGCCTACTGGATAAAGTGTGAATTGCACCATGGGTTCTGCTCACCTGAGGACCTTCAGCAGTAGCTGGGATGCTGGCTCATGGTGTGAATGAAATAACTGATTATTTTATTTTTCTTTAAACCCTCACCCAAGGATATATTTTTAATTTTTAGAGAGAGATGGAGAGAGAAACCTTGATATGAGAGAAACATCGATTGGTTGTTTTCTGTATGCACCCTGATGGGGGATGGAATCAGTAACCTATGTAGGTGCTCTGACCAGGAATCGAACCTGCAACCTTTTGGTGTACAGGACGACACTCCAAGCAACAGAGCCACTGGTTGGAGCAAAATAACTGCTTATATTAAAGAGTCATTGCTTTAAAGGCATACCTAGTTATCTTAAATATCCATCTTAAAGAGTGTCACTGAAGTTTCCACTCTCAGGTGCCTTGTCAATCAAGAAATTTCTGACAAGCTACAGGTTTGGGTTTTCAATATTAGAATTCAAATGGCTGTTATTTTTTTAAAAAATATATTTTTATTGATTTCAGAGAGAAGAAGGGAGAGGGAGAGAGAGAAACATCAATGATGAGAATCATCGGCTGCCTCCTGCATGCCCCCTCCTGGGGATCGAGCCTGCAACCCAGGCATGTGCCCTTGACTGGAATCAAACCCAGAACCCTTCAGCTTACAGGCCAACACTCTATCTACTGAGCCAAACCAGCTAATGCTGTTTTTTGTTGTTGATTTGTTTTTTTAAACAAAAAGGTGTGGAAGGAAAGAAATTAAAATGGTAATTTTTCTTTTATTTCTCCCCCTTGCTTTATTTTCTAATATTTCTACAATGGATATTTGTTATAAGAAGAAAACAAAAACAAAAAGTTTCTAAAAAGAAAAACAACATGAAAATCTTTCCCCACCTTCCTTCCCTTTATTCCTTTCTAGGCTGCTTTTCACGACTTGGGCATTGGGTCTTGGACATCTGCCTCCAGGGGCAGGAGCACCTTGGTAATATTTCTGTGGGGCGGTGGTTCAGACAGCCAGGCTCCCCCTACTGTCCACAAGTGTGGTCAACCACACAAGCAGCATAATTTGACATTCACAACCAGGCTTCTCAACAGGGCTGTTCAGGTAGTTTCTCCACATTGTCCACCCCACCTTGGGTTCATGCCACAGTCAAGCTGTGTTTCCCTATCTTACCTCTTGAAATCTGCACAGCACACTACAGGTCAGTGGTCATGTACTGGCCAGCCCCGGACGCCCCAGTTCTCCACCCTCCCAGCACACCCTCAGCCACCCGCTCTTCCCTCCATGGGAGCCAGAGCAGCTCCAAACGATGCAAGACATCAGGGATTAGAAAAACAAATCCCCACTTAAATGAAGATCTATGGACCAGCTGAGTCACTCCTCTCAAGCAAGTTCCCAGCTAACCAGGCTTTACTCCAGCCCCAGTGTCATCTGGGGTTCTCTCCTCCATCTGGAACTCTGGGGGTGGGGTTGGGGGAAGGGGGCATCTGGGTGCTGGGAAGACTCACCCGGCAGCCTCTCACTGCAGCACATGTCCAGGGCCCCTCCCTCGGAGTCATCAGCAGCGTGGTTCTCTCACTCCCTCCTGCAGCAGGATGAGAAAACAGGAGATGAGGCTGGCATCAAGACAACCTCGAGCAAAGATCAGAAGCCTTCCTTTCTTGTGCTGTGTCCCTTTGAATAACTCCACCCCACTCCATCAGCAGGACCTTAGGAAAAACCAACAGAAGGGCCAAACTGCAGAGCCAGAATTCTGCAGGTATCTTCTATGTGACAACGGTGACAGTAGCATCACTATGACAACCCTCCTCCTCCTCCTCTTCCTCTTCCTCCTCCTCCTTCTCCTCTTCTTCCTCCTCCTCCTCCTCTCTAGATTTCAAAGTGGGGGGGGGCTTACCATGGGCAAATCACTTTACAAATTTTATCACAGAGTCTTCCTTGCGACCTCATGAATTAGGGATCATTAAGCAGGCTCAGAGAAGTTCAAGAACTTGCCCAAGGTTACACAGATCATTTGGGTGGGAGCTGGTATGAAATGACAGTCTCGGACTCCAGGCACACGCTCACTACTGTGCTGTTCTGACAGTTACCGTAGGTTTAAAAGTTGGAAGCCCTGTTGAGCAAATAGAGGGGTCTGAGTAACACAGTCTGTGCCCAGCTCCCCGAGGACTGCGAGTGCTCTGTGCCTCAGGCAGTGGACAGTGAGTGGTATGCAAAGCTCTTCTCCAGAAATAGCTATATGTATTTTTTTTGTGTGCATATTCTAAACGTTCTATTTCTTTCTGAAATGAGAACACCCTCTTTCTAGATCATGAGGGCACCTTCCAGGACTACAGTGGGGTCTAGCTTTCCTCCTTTACCCAAGAAGCTGGAAGAAGGTTGCTGTGGACCAGACAGACCCCTTGAATGCCTGTAGACAGACATCATCTAAGGGCAACTGCACAGCTTGCAGGGGCTCCCGACAGTGGGAATGGCTGGAAATGCAGGTGTAGGCTGCAGCAGCAGGCCTCGCGCCCCCCCCCCCCCCCCCCCCCCCCGCCTTTCATGTCTCTGACTCCTGGCAATGGATGGCTGATCCAGGGCTGGGCACACCAACCAGGCTGGGTCAATCAGATGGTCTTGCCTGCACTTTTCAAACACACTCCGAAGGGCCTGTAGCCTGGGTTACTGGGGCTGAATCACGGTAGCTGCAGTACCCTGGAGAAAAGGTCGGAAATGTCGGAGTTGCTGCATTCCGGCCAATCCTGAGTCTTGACTGGGCAGCATGTCCACCAAGGCCACGAGATGCCTCAGAATCCTTTCAATAACTTCCAACATGTCAGCTTCAGCTAGTGGGATTTGATTTTTGGGATTGGCAGCCAACAGGATCTTTTATTATTGCCCCACTAGCATACTACTTTTAAGAAGCCCAATAGGTGGGATCCAAGATGGCTGCGCCCAGGTGAACACCTAGCTGCAGCCGCACACAACAATTTCAATAAAATACAACTAAAATATAAAACGGACATTGCCCAGAACTACAGGAAGGTTGACTGACTGGAAATTCTACAGCGAGAAGCAAGGAGAAAACCAGAAGGAGGCGCGGAGGAGCTGGAAAAGCCCAAGGTACGGAGACGCGGCGCGCGGAGAGGACGGAGCCAGAGAGGAGGGAGGCCGAGTGCCTGGCGGGCGTTCCCGAGCGGAAAGGAGAGAAAAGCTCCGACTGTGCTGGGCCCCCAACTGCTCTGAACCCCGGTTCTGGGCCAGACCCCGGGGACTCAGGCTCAGCCATAGGGAGCCGGGCTGTAAGGCGGAACCCCGGGGAGAGGCGAAAGGAGGTCCCGGAGGCGCGCACACTGCGCGCAGAGAAGGGACGGTCGGCTGTGCAGCGGGATTGCCCTGACGGGAAGGAGACTGGGGCTCCAGACTGCTCTGAACGCCACCTCCAACTCCATTTCCAACTGAACTGAACCCCAATACCGGGCTCATTGTGGGAGAGCATAGACTGTTTGGCAGCAGGCGAAAATCGAGGGCACCTTTCTCTCAGAGGCGCTGGCAGCAGCGAGCACTGAAGGACCCGCATAGGGCGGGGCTGACAGAAGCCAAAGCTGCAGGCTCCACCCTGAAACCCCGTCCCATCTGTAACTGCGAAATGCGACAACAAAATAGATCACAAACGAAAGAAATGGAGGACAAAAAGCGTCTGGATATAGAGTTCAAATCTACGCTTATAAGTTTTTTCAAGAATTTCTTAGAAAAGATGGATAAGGGCTACGAGGATATGAAAAGAGATCAACTAGAATTAATAAGGAGTCAACAAGAAATGATAAGGGATCAACAAGAAATAAAGAATACATTGTCTGAAATAAAAAATATTTTACTGAGTCCTAAAAACAGAAGGGAAGATCGCAAGAATCAAGTCAAAGATTTGGAACATAAAGAGCCAGAAGACACTCCTCCACAGAAGCTAGAAGGCAAGAGAATCCAGAAAATTGAAGATAATGTAAGAAACCTCTGGGACAACTTCAAGCGAACCAACATCAGAATTATGGGGGTCCCAGAAGATGAGAGAGAGCAAGATATCGAAAACATACTGAAAGAAATAGTGACAGAAAACTTCCCCTACCTGGTGAAAGAATTAGACTTACAAGTCCAGGAAGCGCACAGAACTCCAAACAAAAGGAATCCAAAGAGGACCACACCGAGACACATCATTATTAAAATTCCAAGAGCAAAAGACAAAGAGAGAATATTAAAAGAAGCAAGAGCAAAGAAGGTAGTAACCTACAAAGGAGCACCTATACGATTGTCAGCTGACTTCTCAACAGAAACCATGCAGGCCAGAAGGGAATGGCAAGAAATATTCAAGGTGATGAATAGCAAGAACCTACAGCCAAAAATAATCTACCCAGCAAAGCTATCACTCAGAATCGAAGGCCAGATAAAGAGCTTCACTAATAAAAAAAAGCTAAAGGAGTTCATCACCACCAAACCAGAATTATATGAATTGCTGAAGGGGGTTCTTTCAGAAGAGAAAGTAAACAAAGATAAAAATTATGAACAACAAATACATAACTATCAACAAGTGAATCTAAAAACCAAGGAAATTAAAAAAATCTGATGAACAATATTAACTGTTGAATATAATAGAATCAGAGGTATGGAAGGGGAGTGAACTGACGATTCTTGGGGTAAAGGGGAGAGGGAAGGGGAGAGGGGGGCGTGGGAAGAGACTGAACATAAACTGTGCACCTATGGATGAGGACAATGGGGAGAGGGGAAAGGGCAGAGGGTGGGATGGGAACCTGGTGGAGGAGAGCAATGGTGGGTGGGGGGAAAGGAACATTTGTAATAATATGAACAATAAAAACTTATTAAAAAAAAAAAGATTTATAATTACAAAAAAAAAAAAAAAAAAAAAAAAAAAAAAGAAGCCCAATAGGTGAGCTGACTCTCTGCCCACCAGTCCTGCAATCCTGCCTCTCGGACTGGTCCTGAGGCTGGACTGAAATAATAAAGGGCAGACATGCCGGGTTAACTCTAGGTGCTTGCAGCTGGTATTGCATTTTATTTTTTCCTCATTGCAATTGGCACTGTCTCTGAGAATCTAAAATCTCAGAGCCGAGCTCTCCTACAGAGAGGCCCTTTAAACATCTCCCAAGTCTTTCCACCTTTCTCTCTCTCCACTACATCATCTTGGTCCAAGCCAAGCATCTCATGCTTAGGGTACTGAGGCAATCTTTGTTTTTTTTTGTTTATTGATTTCAGAAAGAAAAGGAGAGACAGAAACATCAATGATGAGAGAGTCACTGATCGGCTACCTCCCACACACCCCACACTAGGGATCGAGCCCACAACCCAGGTATGTGCCCTGACTGGGAATCGAACCATGACCTCCTGGTTCATAGATTGATGTTCAACCTCTGAGCCATGCAGGCTGGGCATCGAGGCAATCTTTTAACTGGTCTCTGGCATCCACTCAGGCTGGCCTCCAAAACATTCTCCATATGCCCCAATGCATACATATGGCTGCATAGGTTGTGCATTTTACAACCTGTACAACTGAATGGGGCAGGCTTGAGCTAGAATCAACTCTTGCCAAACTCAACATTTATCGCATAAGCTTCCTTGAAAAATGACTTGAATGGCATCATACTGCACTTGGAACAAAGAAAAAGATCCTTTAACAAAGTTTACTTGACCTCGCATGGTCTGACCCACCTTTATCCCTCCAGCCTTATTTCAGGTCCCTTTCCTTCTTGACCTCTGCCCTTTGGTCAGCCTCTTTCATGCAGGATGAGTTTGTACATACTTTCCCCTCTACCCAGAAAGCTCCCCCATCTCTACTTCTCGGGGCACAGACTGTGTTATGCTGGGCACAGACTGTGTTACTCAGACCAAAGTAATAGCACTTGACACAATTTGAAACTTCATTTTGATTTATGTCGTTATTTGATTAATCTACCTCAACCATTAGACCAGAAATTACAACAAGGTTGGGACCACCATTTCTGTTTTATTTTCAAAGTCTTACACAGTGGCTGGCTCGTAGTAGGCATTCACTAAATACTTGCCGAAAAAATGAATGTTGTCCTGACGATCTTGAATCTCCAACATGGTTACCTTCTAAGCTGCCTGGCTTTCAGGACTTTGTTAAGCCACCTGGAACCCTCCTCCAGAGCTGCTGTCAAGAGCGGTCACAGAGTCACACATCTGGAGCAATGACTGTGCAGAGGAGGAAACTGAGGCACAAAATGGGGTCTGACTTGTCCCAGGTCGTACATCGCAACCACGGAAATTGGGATCAAGAATGCCTATCCCTGACCTAGCCAGTTTGCTCAGTGGATAGAGCATCAGCCCATGGGGTCCCAGGTTTGATTCTGGTCAAGGGCACATACCTTGCTTGCAGATCAGGGTGTGTACGGGAGGCAACCAATCTCATATGGATGTTTCACTCTCTGTGTCTCTCCCACTCTCTTTCACTCTCTCTAAAAATCAATGGGAAAATATCCTCTGGTGAGGATTAAAAAAAAAAAGAATGCCTATTCCTGACCTCCCAGTTCTGAGAAAGAGCTTTTTCTTTTTCCTAAAGAGCACCCCTGCTTA